TGAAATGAGCAGGAGTTTCTTGAGGATTCTGAGAAATTAATAGCCATGTATTCTTTACTGTAATATGTTTTAAAAATGTAAATAGCAGGGTGCTTTTCAATCACCCCTCCATCAACCATTTATGAAAATTTCTGTCAAATAAAAACATTGCAGTGTTTCTCATCCATCTTACTCACTTGATCTGGCTCCTTCTGATTTCTGGCTCTTCCCCAAAGTCAAAATGACCAGAAAGGTTGTAGACATTCATGAAAGAAGACTTGCAGAACTGCTTCCAGAAGTAGAAGGACAATGGGATGAGTGTGTCTGAGAAAGAACATCCTGCGGGAGATGAAAGGCAGTGTGTCTGTGCTGTAATAAACATGTGTTAATTTAAACTTTCACTGTAGATTTTGATCACACCTGACACTTCATTCCATCAAATAGCATGGGTGCTCTCTCAGACTGAGCAGAGGAGGTAGGGTTACAGACAGAAAAGGGCTGGAGAAAGCAGAAGCACAGAGTGAAAGGGGGATTGTCCTTTCAAAGTGATATTTTTTGTAAAGCAGAGAGGAAGAAAAGTAGGAAAATAACTGGTGAACAGAAGGTTACTTCAAGTCACTTGTTAAGGGAGCAATTAAGGCAGAGGGGACCTCATTAGCAAGCTGGTGGAAACCAGCCTGCTGGGGAAACTCGGTTGTTTATCTTTCAGATTGCTCAGAAGTTCAGATAATAACTTGGTTTGGGTTTGGTGCCTAGACCTATGGTATGAATGACTTGTTTTGATGACTGTGATCTGTTAGGGTTCTGTGCAGGAGCTTAGACCGAAAAAATACCATCCTATAATTTTTAAAAATGTAGTAAAAGTCTCCATCCACCAAACCAGTGAGTCTCTGTATTCGGAGGCTGTTTCAGCAAAGTGGCCCTGACAAAGCGGGGTGACCTCAGATCAGGAGAGCCTGGCCTGGGCCCTGAGTACTTCTGGGAAGCAGGGACCCCAGAGGGCTGAGGACCTCAAGGCTGGGAGGACTACACGGTCCCTGAACCCAGAGTCTGAGGGGGTGGCATCTCCCTCAGTACTACAGCCACGTGGTGCCCAAGCTCCTCATGGACACCCCAGTGACTCCACCCCACCGGGACCAGAACCTCAAGAGTTTTGAGCTGTACTCTGGTAAGCTTGCTTGACTTGCTAGTGCTTCCCCTTTCCGCAAGGTTAAAGCATCGTCTTTTACTCCAAGCTCAGAAAGCTCCAGTATTTACCCTTAGTTAAGAAGAACACAGACTTAGAAAGAAACTAACATTATAGTATGAATTAGCTTCCTAGAGTCCCAAAGCATCTATTTTCTTAGCGGGATGGGATCTTCTTATCCATTCAAGTTATTCTTTATTCTCTCCTAGAGTCTCCCAGCCCTGTGATGTAGCCCTCTCCAAGAGACCTAGCTTAGCCCTGATTGCTGCAGATTCATGGCAAGATTCTCTATGACCTTTGATTTGAATTTAGAAGGTAAAAACACTACACCTTAGCCAGGGGATACAGGTCAGCAGCACATCTGCCTGGAAAGCATGAGGTAGTGAGTTCAATTCCTGGTTCAGCAAACAAACAAACAAACAATCAAACAATAACACCCCCCCCCAAAAAAATCCTTACTCTATACCTTAGATAAGACAAATTCTAATTTTACCATTTTCTGTCAGACTTTTTACTACATAATTAGCTTTTCTAAAAGCTGTGTTTTCCTCATTTGTAATGGGAATTAAAGCAGCTTGTTGTGATGGTTCATTTATTCAGCACTAATTTGTGTTGTTTTAGAACGTACAAGGTACCCAGGCCCTGTGCTGCTTTGGTACTGTGGGTAGCTGCATGGGACAACCAGGGACCCTCTGGCATAATCACAGGAATGAAACTTGGCTAGTTGATTGATGGGCTAAAGCAGGGGTTGACAGAATTTTTCTTCTGTGAAGGGCCAGATAGGGAATATTTTCCAGCTTCTTTCTGCCATTATAGTGCAAAAGCTGCAATAAAAAATGCAGAAACAGCTGGGCTTAGTGACGCATGCTTGTAAATCCAGCACTCAGGAGGCTGAGGCAGGAGGATTGTTAAGTCAAAGGCCAGCCTTGAGCGCAGCGAGTTTTTCCCACGGGCTCTTCCAAATGCCCCTCGCGGTCCTCCAGCACTGTTTCTCTTATTTCTGTAGAGCTGGCTGTGTTAACACAGACCTCGAGGTGGTGGCTGCATCAGTGCACCTAACTGGCTCCCTTAATAGCAAAGTGTGACTCCAGCAGCATTGACAGGTGTCACAGGCACACTAACAACACGCCCCACTTCACATGGAGAGGTGCTGGGAAAACTCATTCCCCCTCTGATCTTCAATTCCTCTCTTTACCAAAAACAAGAGTGTGGGCCTAATGGATTCCCAAGTTTGAATTCTTACCCAATCACACAAAGTGCTTGTTAGGAGAAACAGATTTCCAGGATCTACTTCAGAGCCATCATTTTAAACTCTAGAGATGGCTTGGGACTGGGACAAGTGGCCTGGACAGATAGATCTGAAGGTGGAAGCTCAGCATTGGACCTCTCCAGCTCTAGTGCTCTGCAGTTGTCGGGAGGTGGAGACAGCCCCCATGCTCCCAGGGCTGGGCTGTGGTGGGTCGGAGAATGGTGGTGGTGGGGATCGTTATCTCATCTGCAAGGACGTGGCAGGATGTGGTTGACCTGAGCTTCCTGTGAATGGGGAGCCAGAGAAGTGACAAGAGAGTCACAGCCCACCTGTAGCCCAGCCTGCACGTCCAGAGTGTGCCCAAGGTCCTGGAAACGAGAGGCTGGCCCACCTTGCTGTGACCTGGGGCAGGTCTCTTCACTTCCCAGAGTCTCCGTGTGCATGTACAAAATGTATGATTGGCAATAACACGGCACAGAATAAATGTGACACGTGTAAACGATCTCATGCATTGTGGGACATTTTTTTTTCCAGGTGGAATCAGCAGCCCCGTTTTGAACATTCAAAGGGGAAAGAGTCAAGCTGCTGCTTTGTGGGCAGTTTTATCAATGATTTAGTGTTTCTTCCTGGGGCGGGGGGTGGAGACATTGTCCTTGCTAGGCCTCCCTTACTCTCCGGGGAAGGGACACAGAGGTCCCTATGGTTCCCGTGCCCTTTCTCAGGATTCTCTGGACAGCTGGGAGCAACCACAGGATGATGAGAGGCATCCTAGAGTATGCAGACCAGACTGTCAGAGGAAGGGCTACTGCTTTTTGTAATGTCTTTCTTTTCCATGTGTTCTTTTCAAGAGGAAGACAGGAAACGGGATCTTGGGAAGGCTTTCTTAGCAAATGAAACATTCTCTCTTTGGTTTCTTTTCCTCTGCATTGATTATTTAGAGGACAGTCACTGGGTACCAACCTAGCACCCAGCTCTGTGCTGGCTGCAAAGGAGGACGGGTTTTGGAAGTGAGCCTCGGTATCTAGCTGCAGGGGCTCACCACCTGGGTTGGATGATGACTCTTGGATCTGCCTGAGGACTGGAAGAGCAACATGCTGGTGACCATGACGACAGGGACAGAGAGAGAAGGGTTTGGACACATTGAGTGTTCTCATGCATGCGCACCGCCCTCCGCTTTACAGAGCATGCTTGTGACCATTATCTTATTTACTTAACATTCAAACCTATTTTAAAAAGACTTCAGTTTTACCGAGGAGCAAACTGAGGGTGATAACATCTCTGAGATGAGGTGGGAAGAAAGTGGCTGAGTCAGGTCCCAGTTTTCTTCTTTGGGCCCCAAAAGAGTGCCTTGGCCCCCAAACATCCCTACTTTCCTCCTTGAGATCACAACACAACATTGCCAAACACACACCTCATCAGAGTGGACGGAATCGTGGCCACACTGGAGGGGGCTGCCATAGCCTCAGACAGCAGGCAGGGAAGGGACCAGAAGGACCAAACGGAACAAGGGGTACATTGGGTCCAGTAGTGCACTGCTGAGTGAGGAGGGGAGGTGACAAGCAAGGTGGCACTCCCGGCAAGAGATAGTGTGACATGACAGTAAGTAAGGGCGTGTGGAGGTCCAAGGTAGACGAGAAAGCGGCCAGGGCCTGGTGCAACCGGAATGGACATTGCTGATAGGTCTGAAGCAGCCAGGGAGGTTCTTCCAAACGACTGGAGGATTCTCTTCACTTTGCTACTGATGACAGTCCCACTGTTTTCTCTTTGACATCCTCGTCTCCTTCAACCACAAGTCCATTCATAATTGAACCCAGGAGTAATCAAATCAAAGAGCTGTCTGCAGTATTAGCCCAAAGATAGAGCCTGCTGCTTCTGACTCTTTTCTTTAAAAACTGTCAGGAGGCTGCTGGAGCAGGTAAGGCTCTGAGGCAGCAGCAGCTCTGACTCACAGGACCACATCAAAGTGGCAGCCCGGTAACAGGCGGCAGCAGTGCTGCGTGGGAGCAGACTTTGCCTGCTACTGTTTGAGGCTCAGCGCCCCTCTGGGCAGCCTCATTGTGGAAAGTAGCCTGTGGTTTAGAGACTGAGTGACTCATACCGTAGGCAGAGTTTGGGAACAGAGATGTCAGCTTGGTCTGCTCTGCCTCCCAGCCAGGAACCCTGGCCTGAAGCTCTGAATCACTAGATGTCTATGCTCATCAGTGAGTCAAGGTTGCATCTGTGCAAGCATCCATGCATCCATCTATCACCAGCCCATTTATCTATTTTCCACCCATCAGTTCATTTACCCACCCACCCATCCATCTATCTATCCATCCATTTATCCATCTGCCTATCTACCTATCCATCTATCCATCCACCCATCCATCCACCCATCCACCCACCCACCCACACATACATACATACATGCATCTGTTCACCCATCCATCCATTTTCCCACCCACCCACCCTCCCTTCCATCCATCCATACATACATATGTCCTTTCATCCATCCATCCATCCATCCATCCATCCATCCACCCACCCATCCATCCATCCTTCCATCAATTTGTTTAGCAAATGCTATAGGCATGTACTTTTTTCCAGGCCCTGTATAAGAAACATTGTGATGACCAAGACAGACCCAGTCCCTGCCTTCATATGACTCAGGAGAAAAGGTAAGACCGAGAAGTATTGAACACATAATCCCACAAGTAACTGAATCACTATTGCAAGAGATGCTGTGAAGGAAAACACAGGGTATTCTGAGGGCAGACAATAGGAAAAGCTGAGCAGGTTTAGGAAGATGGTCAATAAAAGTCAGGACTGATGCTAAAGGAAGGGGCCACCTGGTGACTATCTATCCAGCTTTTCATCGCTGACTGCCACAGCCCCACTGGCTGTCAGGATCAGGGCTGATAAAGAGGTAGAGTTCACCTTTTTTCCCTTTCAGTCTCTCTCTGTCTATCTCTCGGCTCCCTTCATTACTGCACACACCACAATGAGTTAGGGAGATAATAATGTTCGAGTCTCAGAGAACTGGATTCAAATCCCAGAGTCTCAACTGACGGACTCTGTAGCTTTGACTAAATGGCTCACCTTCAGCATATCCATTAGAAAGAGAGGGTAAAACATCAAGGCCTTCACAAGATAGTTTAGGAAGTGAAATTATTTCTATCAGTTTCCTGGTCTCTAACACAGCCTAAACGACCCTGATCCAGTTTTTAAAATATCACATCTATCCCACTAGGCAAATCTTGGAATAGGTGTATTTTTCCAGAGATGGCTGAGGACCAGGCCTGTCATCTGAACTCTAGAACATTCTGACCTGATGAGAGCATGATTTTGATGATTTGTAAGATTTCTTGCTCTTCTGGGCCTTTAGAATTCTAAAAATCCTTTATTTTAAAAACACCCTGAGCCAGGAGTCAGCAGGTAGTTCATGCTGCCTTGGAGAGTCGGGGAGTCCTCTGTCCCTCTGTGAGCCTCAGTTTCCTCCCCCGTCTCCGTGGGCTGGTGGTTTGGGACTGTGAGGCTCTCTGAGAGGGCAGAACCCCGCTAGGGCTGGTGCCAGATCAGACCACACTTCTGCCTTGGCCCTGCCCAGCTGCCGCTTCCCAGCTGCCAGCTGCCTGGGTTTCTCCAGGATCAGGGGCAGAGCCACCTGGAGATTCAGTTTATTTTTAGGGCATTCCTGAGCCACAAGGTGCTTTTGTTTCCCAGGAGAATGAGCTTTGGGTGAGATGAAGCCTGACTTTTGGAGAAATGTGTAGTCTTTTGCCCACATTTGAATTGGGTTGTTTTTGTCTTTTTGTTGGAATGGTTTAGCTTTGGGGAGAGGGGTCCTCTATAAATCTTGCATATCAATTCCTTATCAAATATATAATTTCCAACTATTTTTCTCCTTCTGGGGGTTACATTTTCTTTGTAAATCGATGCACAGACATTTTCAATTTTTATGATGCCCAAGTTGTCCGGTTTTTCTTTTTCTTTTTGCTCCTCCTTTTGTTGTTGTTACTGCATTTATTTTGGTATCAAATCCAAAATTCAATGCCACAGAACTTTCCTGTGTGTTTTCTTTTATGAGTTTAATAGCTTTGGGTCTGTGAATGAGTTTAAATTAATTTCCATATGTGGTTTTAGGTAAGGTCCATTGTTTTGCATCTGGATATGCTGTCATGCAGTATCATTGGCTGGAAGCACTGTCTTTTCTACATTAAATAGTGTTGGGACTTCTGCTGAAAAATCTCTTGGCCATATATGTGAGGGCTTATTGCTGTGCTCTCTATTCTAATAAATTGGTCTTTAAGCTTATCTATATGTTGATAGCACATTGTTTTGATTGCTATAGCTTTGCAGTAAACTCTGAAATAAAGTATGAGTTCTCCAACGTTGCTCTCTTTCAATATTGTTTTGCTATTCAGACTCCATATGATTTTTTCTTTAATTTCTGTCAGCAATTTTTTAGCTTATTAGTACAGATGGGTATTTTATTTCTACTAAAAAAATGGGGTTTTGGTTGTGTTGTGGTCTGTTTGGGCTACTATAGCCAAAGGCCATACACTGGGTAGCTTATAAACAACAAACATTTATTTGTTGCTTGCAATTCCGGAGTCCTGTAAGTCTAAAATCAAAGCATCAACAAATTTTGTATCTGACAAGATACCACTTTCTGGTTCACAGGTGGCCCCTTCGCAATGTGTACTGAAAGCATCTCTTAATATAAGCAAAGACTTATTCTACAAAAGCAACAATCCCATTCATGAGGGATCTGTCCTCTAATTACCTCCAAGGACCCCACCTCCTAATAGCCAAATTAGGCTCCAGCATTTTATAGGAGAGGGCAGAAGCATTCAGGAACAGCAGGTAGGGACAGCGCTGACTCTGTAGATCACTTTGACAGCACCATCGCCTTAACAATATTAAGGCCTTCAACCCAAGCGCATGGGATGTCTTTCCATTTACTGATGTCTTTAATTTTGCAGTCATGTTTTATAGTTTTCAATATGTATGTCTTTCACCTCTTTGCTTAATTCCTAAGCATTTCATTCTTTTTTGGATGCTATTAAAAATGAAATTATTTTCCTCATTTCCTTTTCAGATTGTTTATTATCCTACAGAAATGCAACGTACTTTTGAGAATCAGCTTTGTATCTGGCTACATTGCTGATTTTATTAGTTCTGATAGCTTTTTTGTGAATGTGTCCTGTAAGTAAGGTTTCCTATATGTAAGACCTGTAAATATGGTTAATTTTACCTTTTTCTTTCCAATTTGGGTGACTTTTATTCTTTTCTTTGCCTAGTGGCTCTAACTAGGACTTTTAGTCATATACTGAGTAGAAGAGATGAGGACAGACGTCCTGACTTATTTCCAATTTATAAGAAAAGTTTTAGTTTTCTACTATTGAATGTGATGTTTGTTGTGGGTTTTTCATCGATGGTTTTTATTATGTTGAGATAGTTTATTTCCACTCCTTGTTCGTTAATTTCTAGTTAAGCATGAAAGGGTGTTGAATTTGTCAAATGCTTTCTCTGTATCAATTGAGATCGTATGTTTTCTTCCTCTTCATTCTGAGAGTATGGCATATTATGTCAGTTAATATTCATGTGTGAACCCTCTTTGCATTAAAGAAAACTCACTTGGTCATAGTATACAATCTTAATTTGCTGTTGAATTTGATCTGATAGTATTTTGCTGAGAATTTTGGCATTAGAGGTCAGAAGGGATAGTCTGTGGTTTTCTCACACTTGGTCTGGCTTTAGTGTCAGGGTCTTGTGGACTTCATAGACTAAAGTAGAAAACTTACTCTCCCTTAAATGTTTTTGGATACCTTTGATTAGGGTTAGGGTTAGTTCTTTAAATATTTAACAGAATTCACCAGTGAAGCCATTAGGGCCAGGACTTTTGAGTTTTCTTTTTAATCTTTATCACTGATTCAATATCTTTACTACTTATTGGTCTACTCAGATCTTCTATTTGATTCCTTCTATTTCTTGGTAGATCCTGTGTTTCTAGGAATGTGTCCATTTTACGTAGGTTGTGCAATTTGTCTACGTATGATTGCTCGTGTTACTCTTATAATTCTGAGTAGAATCAGTAGCCATGTCCTCACTTTCATTTCTGATTTTAGTAACTTGTGTCTTCTTCCTCTTTTTTGTTAGTCACTCTACCCAAAGTTTTGTCAATTATGTTGATCTTTTTGAAGAACCAACTTTTGGTTTCATTGATTTTTCTCTGTTTTTCCCTTCTGTATCTCTGCTCTGATCTTTATTTATTTCCTTCCTTTCACTTGTCTTGTGTTTGGGTTTGTTCTTTTTCTAGTGCCTTACATTAAAGACAGGTTGTTGATTTGCAAGCTTTCGTGTTTTTGAACATAAGAGCTTGACAGCTGTAAATTTCCCCCTTAGCACATCTTTTCTGCACTTCATAAAGGTTTTGGTATGCTGTGGTTTTGCTGTTAGTGTCACTAAGTATTTTCTAATTTCTCTTGTGACTTCTACTGTGATCTACTGGTTATTTAAGAGAATGTTATTTAATTGGCACACATTTGTGAATTTTTCCTGTTATTAATATCTAACTTCATTTCCTTGCAGTCAGAGAAGAGATCTTTTATTACAACTTTCTTTTAAAATTCATTGACACCAATTTGTGGCCTAACATACGGTCCATTCTGGAAAAGCCTCACATGCACTTAAGAAAAAAACATTTTTAAACTTTTAGATACAGAGTTCTAAATATGTCTGGCATGTCCAGTTGGTTTACTGTGTTCTCCTCTATTTTGTTTTGTTACCATCTCTGGTTTAAGCCATTATTGAAAGTTGGGTTATTGAAGTCTCAAAATACTGTTGTTGACCATCTTTTATTCCTGTCCATTCTGTTGATTTTTGCTACATATTTTTATGAGCTTTTTTTAAGAGAAAAAAATAATAAAGCAGAGTTTCAAAACAGTTTAGTGGGAGAGTTACAATAATTATACATTGTGTATTGTTGTCTTCATAGTAGTTATTCAGAGTACAAAATTTAGGCATGATATCTTGTCCAAATAATATTAGCACAAACTTTTATTTTTAATAAACTAAGAGAAACTAGCTGTATAACTATCTTAACTATCTTCTATTTAAATGTATTTTCCCTTTCTTTCTTTCTTTCTTTCTTTCTTTCTTTCTTTCTCTTTCTTTCTTTCTTTCTTTCTTTCTTCCTTTCCCCCAATCACTATTTGTCTTTTCTTTTGAACAATTTCTTCCCAATTCACTATATTGGTTGTACGTTTTGGATCTTATTTACTCATTCAGTTTTTCACACTAGATAATATGATGTTTGTGTGTATGGGTCTGATTTATTTCACTTATGAGTAAACTACGTATGTTTTGATGATCTGTTGTTAGGCCCATTGATGTTTACAGTTATTATACCTCCTTGCTATGTTGAGCCTTTTACGAATGTGCCATGCTTTTCTTACCTTTTTTAACTCTTTTAAAATTCAAGTCTACTTTGGCTGATAATTAGAGAGAGCCTCTTCTACTTTCTTTGAGCTATGAATTGCCTTTTTCAACCTTTTCTTTTCAATGTATCTCTTTTGGACCTAAAGGGAGTCTACTATAGATAGTAGGTTAGACATTTTCATTGGAGGTTTAGTCCACATCCTTGTCCATTTATATATTTTTTTTTAATTTTTTT